GACGTGCCACAGGAAGAGGGGGAGGGGCACCTGGGGCTTATAGCACAAGCTTCTCCATTGTACCGAAAGATGACTTTTCCTATGGATGGTCAACCATCCTGTTTTGTGGCTTTCAGCTTCCTCCTGTATTGTGAGCTTGAAGTCATTGAAAAAGAAAAGGTTTTAAACCGAGGTCTGTGTTGGGAATTCCAAACACTTTCAATACATGTTAACCAAACAAATACATCATGCCTAGACTATTAACATCCTGGTTCACATTGCTGAAGCCACTATTCTTTGGAAAAAAATAATGTAATCACAGAAGAACTTTGAATAGCTATCTTGTTAGTTCTTTCACGTTCTGATAATATTTAGACAAACTGAAAAGAAATTTGAAAATGTGGTAGAAAGCCAAGTACAGTGTGCGCAAGACTGCGTCTTGCAAAAGAGAAAGAAAAATCCATCCCTATAAACATTACGGTTAAGTGGCAACATCCTGAAACACTCAAACAGACAAATTCATATTAATAACTTCTTAGTTTTCAACACTCTAACAAATGCATTTGTGTTAATCTTGATGGAATATTTGGAAAACCTTTGCCTTAAAATGTTAATTTTGTATCCATGTTTCAAATGTGTAAACTGTAGGCTGATTATTTTCAAGTGCCTTGCTTCAATGGGAGGTGAGCTGCCCCTCTAAGAAAAACATTTGCACTATGCAAAAAAGTGACTAAGTAACTATTAATGCTAGTTTGGTTAGGACTTGTAGCATGTGTTCCTGCAAGAAAGTACAGCACATACCAGTTTCATCGCGATCTATGCAGTGAACTGTGGAGCAGTCTGGTTTATGCCACTGGCAGACTTATGTGTTGCAGCTGTGTGTGTGCTACATTAAACAGTCTGCAGTTACCTGATATCCTTCTGTTTTCTTCTGGCACCACTTCAGCAAGGCATTTCTTTTGGAGCCTCCATATTCTCTTGCCAGGGCAGATAAAGGGTCTTTCCTTTCTTCCCTAAGAATAGAAGGGGAGAAAAAGAACAGCAAGGTTTGATACCATGCTCCCTTCTGCAAGTTTTTCTTTTCCATTTGAACAAGGTGAGTACCTTTCTCTCAATGACAGGAATAAGGCACAGCATGCCAGTTAAGGGATGGAATATGCCCAATTAAACCCACATAGTTTTCTCTGTTAGGCAAGATCAAATCAGCTGATTTGCTGGCAGTCACTTCACCTATTGTCCATTCGGAACAAAAATTTGAATGCGATCATACTAAGATCTTTGAGAGTTATCACCACTGGTGCTAATCACTTACCATTTACTTAATTATTTTTAAATTAAACCTCTTTTCTAGGGCTCTGCATACAAATAGGGCTTCTTCTAAAACGTATAACATTAAGCTAACATGCTCAGGACACAATATGTTCCAGCTTGAACTATAAGCTAATGCAAACAACTTTATTTTGTTTAAAAAAACCCAAACTGATGGTATCTCTTTTGCATCTCATTTGATTAGCAATGTCACCTTGAAAGAGCAGTAACTTGGAACACTGTTAGGACAAAGTTATTGCTAAGAGACTGTCTGCCCCCATATCTGGAGTTTTCAAAAGAAGGGATCAAGGACAGTCTCACTCATTTACTTCATATGCAGGCAATATTGATTGTAATGAAACATTGATCAGGTCTCAATAAAATATGCTAAGATAACAGATTCAAACCCATCAATAATGATCTTGTGTACCATTCTGATTAAGACAAATAAGAATACAAGTATCCTTGTGCAGTCATATTTGTCTATTTAGCCAGTAAAAAGCTGGATTGAGGGAGAAGGGGAAGGCTGATTAAGAAAACAATTACTTTCCCTATGATGAAAGGCAGAGGGAGGAAGTGTAACTGGGTTGGTGAATGCATACTACAATTTTGCATTAACAATTTCAATGTTAGGTTTTAATAGTCAAACTGTTCAAAATATTAACTCTTAGATTAATTACTCACATTAACACCCTTGTGGTAGTGTGACTGAGGCATGTCTTTCTGCAGGCACTAAAATGAAGTACAACAAAAAGGTCTAGATATGACGTTTTATGTAGCTTGAGTAAAAATAGAGATACTCCAATAGGTCTATGCAGTTAACCCTAATGTTCTCTGTTTGGACCTTTTCTACAAAGCATTTTACACTCAG